TGTTCTTTGATTTATTCTTTCTAGAATCTTGTTTTTTTCTTTGATCGATCAGTCTAGATTCGTTTTCATCTTGTAGTTTAGACAGAATTCTTTTTGACAAGCAAGAAAAAGAAGATTCTTGAAAATTTCGCTAAGCTCAGATAAGATTCTTGTCTGACTTTCAAGCAAAACGTTACGTGATATCTATAAACACATCCATGCAAACGACAGTTAATAGTTATTATGTTTAATTTAATGAACAAGATTCATCCTATTTACATAATTAATTGAGTTATATGTCGACGGCAAACAAATGCACACATTCGATATGAAATATTCATCTGTTGACTCAATAGTAAGTCAAATTATAGTTAATTTTAGAAAGTTTCCAAAAACAGACAGACGTTCAAAATAGAGGACATCGATGATAAAGAATATTTTTATTATTTGTTTCTTTTATTTTTCTTCTTAATAGAACATATCAGATTTATAACATAACTATCAATCATTGTTTTCTTTTTTGGTTTGTTATTGTAAATGTTTTTCTATTCCTCTTTTTGTATTTCATCTGAAGTTACAGGAAATTTACCGTACTTTTGTTGTAATTATGGTTTGCTTTTCTCTTATATATTTTGTTAATATCTTGAAGTAAAAATAAAAAAGCGACAAAATATATTAGTCTTGTTGAAATATAGCGAAGGCAACATCTAAATCATCAAAATTAGACAAGTAACTCAAGGTCACAAGAATCTTGCCTAGAAAGATAATTCTGACTTCATCTATGATACGATCTACATAAATTTTGCCAGAAAATTATGATCTGTTTTTTTCAGATAAGAATCTTATGCTAAAGTGTATGTAAAAAGAATCTTGACTAGTGATCGACAAGAACAAAAATCGGGAAATAATAACGGCAAGAATATCGATTATTGAGAGATACATGAGAGAAAGGATGAAATTGCTCTACAAATATCATCAGTGTCAAACTTGAAAGTTGAATTCAATTATTGAAAGGTAATTCAGACATAAGATATTCAATAACTGAATTCAGGTTTCAGGTCAGGCATATATGCACAATACTTGCCTGCCCAGTGAAAAATGTAAAACTTTCTAACGTGTTCCAATTTTTGTTGGAACGCGTTTTTTAAGAAAACAATGCGTTCCAACAAAACTAGAACGTTTCTCAGCATGTAATTTTCATTTCGGAACGCGTTGCTTTCTTAAAAAATGCGTTTCAACAAAAATTGGAACGCGTTAGAAAGTTCCACATTTTCTACTGGATGTAATTATTCTAGTCATGTTGTTAATTTTGTTAACTCTGTAACCTTTTGAAATAATGTGTCAAAATGAAATATGAATATTTCCAACCAATTACTCCAGAGAATAAGAAGAAACATTTGCACATTATTTGACTTCACTCAAATAGAATAGTCGTGTGACAAAAGCTTAGATGTCTAAGAGAATTTCTATAATGTAAGATATAGGTAACGGAGTATAACTACAAAGAAATACGAAAAATAAAACAACAAAATACTATTAATAAACATTAGAATTATAGAAGAGCATTTGAATAGATTGTTCCAAAGGAAATTAGCATGGTTCCTTTTCTGAGTTATTTCAGTAAAGAAACATTATCTCAACATAAAGCAAACACCAAAGCCATGACTTTTCATAATTTTTTATCTGTATTCGGATATGCTGCTGTTTGCTGAATTAAATTTCATGTAAAATTACTTGTCATAACGAATTTCAAAATGTAATCATCAGTTGCTTGTTCTTTGTTTGTTTATAGACTTGGTTAACAAGATACAAGAAAAAATAAGTGTGTAGTCCGCTGTATTGTTACACAAAAATATATTATTGTTGATTCTTTAATATATTCCTAAGATCTTGTAACAAATATTCAATTTTCATTTTCTGGGAAACAATTTATGACATGAAGAGCTTTATGAACATTGTATAAATTTTATGTTAAGACATTTTTCTAGACACGTCGTGTGAAGACTCAGTACTTCTTTTATTAGTTTAATCTTTGTTTCAATAAGTTATTTTCTACGAAATAAACTTTCTTTAATTATAAGACTTGTATTATTATTAATTATCTTTTTCTTTTTATAACATCCTTTTTCGTGATATATTTGATCCTTCAGTAGTCAATTACTTTCCGCAAAGATACTTCATTAAATTTTCAATTTGTATTTTTTATTAATAATTTACTTGACGCCTCCAGACGTCGTCATATTTAATACTACAATCAAAAATGAAACTCGATGAACTATATCCAAAAGATAGAAAATTTTTTCACTAATAAGTGTAAGAAGATTAATTGATTAACTACTTTTGTTGAAATAGGAAAAAAATTTTATCATGGTCGTTTGAAAGACAATGATTTTTTAATAAAATAACAAGCAGATATACAGAGTTCTAAGAAAAAATATGTAGAAACTTACTAATATAAATAATAAACATGCTCTATTGTTGATTTAATCTGAACACAACTTATGTTCGATAAAGCTTGTGGTGGTAATGACATTTCCTTAACTCTATGTCAACTAAGTTTTCTATATATCAATGATATTGACTAATATGAAAGACGTTAAGTCATACTTATTATATTAATATCATATAAACAATTTTAATGATTGTTTGATCCAAATTTAGTAATGGACAAAATTCGATATATTCATATCAAAATGAACGAACGTAAAAGTCTTATATAAATACCAACAAGAAAATTAATACTTCCCGAAAGTTAACATGAATGATAAGAGAGAAAAAAAAACCATCTAAGAAGTATTCTTCATCTTCAATTATGTGTTTTTCATGAGTGACATTATTGTTTTTTTCATAAAACACAGGATATTAAAATCAGACCCGGAAAAGTATTATGAATGTGGCTGTTGGTTTTATTTTTAATTGCAGATCGACCAAACAGAAACAAAATATCGGAATATATACCACTTTCGATATATTCAGGTCAAAAAGACACAATTGTAAACGACCGTATACTACAAAATACGTCAAAAAACGATCTTCATATACGATCATCGTTTACGATGAAAGGTGCGCGATACCATTCGTTCAAATACGAACAATATACACGATGAGCGTAAACAGCTGTCGTGCACGACTCTAGTGTACGATCATAGCTAGTCGCAACTCGAGTTGCATTTATTGAGTGTATAGCTTTTGCGTTTTCAATTCCGCGACAATATAATGATAAACATTTATTTTAAATAGAGTTTGTTTTAAATTTAGAATAATACGAACAACACACTGAAAAGTAGTTACCTTGTTTCATTTAGAATTTATCGAACAATATGTTCAACACTCAGTATTTATTTTAAAACAAATAATTTCATTTTTATCATTTAGATTGATTCGAAAAGCAGGTTATACGATAAGTAATCTTTTTGAAATAAATATGATAGCACACTCTCCCAGTCAAATGAAAAGCTTTAAAAACATAGGTATATGCAGAAAATTTTCAGAAACTCACGTTTACTTGCAAAATACTTTTCAAATCATCGTATCTCAGATATGAAGATGCAAGTTACTACAAATATTTACAATTGTCGCGCACAAATGCAAGACAATAACACATGCATGGAAATACCATTTTTTAAGCCTTTAAGCAAAAATATACGAGACTATGCATGACTCTTATCCTAACAAGTAGTTGCATGCAATACTCTTGTGTGTCTATGCAAGATTTATGACTCGCATGCAAATGTCAAAGTGTTATTAAAGCGTATCTGCGACATGATTATAATTTGATTACCTGTGCATCATCATGCAAATTTTTGCTATTTTGTAGTGTGTGCATGCTGCTTCATGCAAGAATATAGGTTTTTTTCTTCGGCGTGTATTTATTTATTTCTCAATAAAATGAAATTGCTCTCATATATTCATACTATAGGGTTCAAAAAAAATTGTTCAATTTTTCGAATTAGCCTATAATTATTAGTATTCATGTTCACACATGTCTAGTAGTTATCAGATGATTATTATACCCTTCAGCTATGATTGCATTTATAAAGTAGATGGTCGAATAGTGAAGAAATTTGTCTTATAAAGTAAAATAGGTTTGTTTACTACATGCCGTTCGCTTTTTGGCCGTTCTAAATTGTCTTACATGCATACACGTGAATTCTCTACAAAAGCGTTCTTATGTCCTCACATGCAGTGGCAATATTAATCGTACACAAGCTCAAAATTTCATGCATGTAAGCACGAATATAATTTACTATCTCACGCGTTCCCACGCATGTCATACCGTAATGATTCATGTCTGAACATGAACACTAATCATTGAAAATCGTTAAGAGCAATAGTTTCAGAATTAATGTAAAGACGACAACGATTTCGAATAACATAATCGAATATTTATTACTAATTCGACGTTTCGATGAACTAAGTCATTATTATTAAGGATAGTACGTACAATTGTGAAAGGATAAATTAAAGAAAAGAACAAAATGCATTTGATTATTACAATCAAAAGAAAAGAACGAAAAGGGAAGAGAATACAACACAGTGTTCATATTAACGATTTGAATCAAGCAACATATTTCTTGGTAAGCTATCGGGAAAAACAATCAATGAAACTGAGTGTTTTGTTTGATTGAGTTCCGCCTTGTATGCCTGAATTCATACAGTATTGTCAAACCTGAAAGTTGAATTTAATTATTGAAGACCTTTCCGATATTCAGCTATTCAATTATTGAATAATTTGAACCAACGATATTCAACTATTCAAATTAATTAAGCGGCACTTAAACCTACACACATCACTCTCGATTAATAAAAAAAGTACAAATTGATGGAAAAACGAATAAAGTACAAATATGGGATACCAATAAGAGTTTCTTGCAATATATATTTCTCGTTTATATCTCTTTCTTCTGTGTAGCCGGTCAAGAACGATTCAGAGCAATAATAAAAGCTTGTTATCGTTATCCATTAGATGCACTACTCGTATTTGACACTTTGAGATCATCGACATCTCAAAATATTACCCAATGGTTTGAAATTTTTTTCTGTTGGTTCCTTCACAAGATATTTATTCTTTTAAAAAGTGCAACGAAGTGATATCCAATGCGGATATCGACTGTCGTATTACATTGGTGGGAAATGAATTCGATCAACGACATATTCGAGTTGTTTCATCGAATGATGCTAAACGATTTGCTGACGAAAGAAATATTTAGTAAGTTCGATACTCTTTTTTGCTGTCAGAAATCAATATGCAAAATATATTTCGAAAAAAAGGTACATTGAAACATTAGCATCAGATTCTACGAATGTTGAACAAGCTTTCCAAAATCTTATTGTTGATATTTATCAACACTGAAGGCTTCCATCCTCCCCACTATAGGGTGTCCAGTAAGTCATGAAACAGACGCACTAAAAATTGAATATCTCTATTATGGTTCGACCAAACGGACTCATTTTTTTTACCAAGGATAGAGACACGTTGACACTCCAAATTCATATGAACAAGGTCAGTGAAAATCTTTGTTAAATACCACTATTGACCTCAACAACAAAAATTTTACTTGTTCACAGGTAGGAAAAAAATGTATAGGATAGTGCAAAAGTCACTTTATCAGAAAAGAAAATTGAATATCTCTATTACGACTCGAGCAAACGAGTTGGTTTTCTTACCAAAGATACAGGCATGTTCACACTCCAAATCCGTATGGGCGCGATTAGTGAGAACCTATGATGAGCCTATTATTTTCTTTTCCTGTCTGTGAACAAGTAAAATTTTCTTGTTGAAGTCAATAGTGGAATTTAACAAAGATTCTCACTGACCTCGTCTATATGAATTTGGAGTGTGAACATGCCTCTATCCTTGGTAAAAAAAAATGAGCCCGTTTGGTCAAGCTATAATGGAGATATTTAATTTTTAGTGTGTCTATTTCATGACTTATTGGACACCCTATATATTTTTAACAATAATGAACATGAGTTATTCGGTAAGATGTTCAAGATTGTTTGAAAGTCTCGTGTTTTAGAACACGTATTTCCGAATGTTTTAATAAACCTTTAGTCTTAATGCTGTTGAGAGAAAGTAAAATTATCTGTCATTCTGTACAAAATGAGTAAAGTAGTTAAATTTGAAAAATGTGGAAGAAGTTTTGAAAGAGCTACAGAATTCAGTTATATCGGATAGGTTAATTCCAGTTATCATATCTTGTTTAGATTTAGTATATTTGATAGTGATTCGACGATGCTTTGCAGTTCTGCTTCAGTGTGAAGGCATAATTTTATTACATTACGAAAGTAGTAACAATCAAATCTATCGTGTGGAATCTGCGTCTTATTTAACATACGAATTTAATTCTTATATTGAACGTTCATACTTATCTCTATAAGGTAAAATTAGACTTTTGTTTCGTGCATGATAAGAATTATCGACCGGCAATACTTTTGTAATGTATAATAAAGATGATTCGCAGTAGGGTAATGTGTAGAGAATAGTTGTTGCGTCATCAGTGTCGCCGTAGAAAAACAATTGGTGTTTCTGGAGCCAACAGTCACTTTTAAATTAGCTAATTATACGATCGGAAACAATTGTGATCTATTCACATTGGTGATATTCTCTAAACTAACAGATAAAAACGTAAGCGAGACCCAACATTACCAAAAAAAAACCGTAAAAGGTCGATTTTTAATCTTTTCTCAATAGCTTGAATTTTCGCGTCTGTTTTTAAAGGTTTGTATGGATAAACAGTATACTCTCTTAAAATGTGTGACTCTGGTCCAATTTTCTACTCCTTTTCCTGCTATGCCGCACTCACTTATCTTGGTAGACTGCTTATTAAAATTGTATGAGAAAACACAGGCATAGATGTGGGTTATTCTTCTTCAATCAGCCACACCTTCTGTGAGTATAAATTCAGAACGCTAGTGATGTTAGAAATGCGTTGAATTTGATTGCTTTCGACAATCTGACAATTGACCTGAATTGAGACTATCATAGTATGTTATCTGTGATCGATAATTTCGATGATTAAATTGAAAAAGATGTTCTTATCGTCTTTTTTGCCAACATGGCTATAACTGTGGTGATCAAAGCTATCTACAACTGACTCATTACAACACCGATCATTGATCATTGCCTGCCTTTGAAGCAACTTTAAAATTTTCTGTCCAAAAATGTTATTCAATCCTTTATCAGCATATGTATTTAACTTCGAAGAAAGAAGGAAATGTTTTACTACCATGAAAGTAAACTTTGTAAGATCCATTAACTGCTAATGTTAATGATTAAGGGAGAAAATTAATTTTGGATGTTGATTAAGTGAAGTTAAAAATAGGTAGATCTCTATCGGCAGCTGCACGCGTTTCTTTCATCAAATTGTAGTTTTAATTGTCGAACATGTTATCAGTTGTATACACTAGTTCTGTGTGCCTCAATTCAATATTGCACACGTGCTGTAGTTCTCAACGATTAAAATTACCATCTATCCTTCTCTTTTCGCCTAGTACCAGAATATTTTCAGTTAGACTCGTGTCACACTGTAAAAAAAAGGTACATAGAATAATAAACATTTGCTCTATATATAATTTTTCATAAACTCTTAAATGGTTTACTATTCTACTCTTTCTTTTCTTTTTTACAGTGCATAATCAATATCTATCTGTTCCGTCATCTCAGAAATGAGAGAATTCTTTGCAACTGCTTTGTTTACTATCTCTCTCTCTTTATCTCAATATTGATCGCCCATGTAACCAGAATAGATAGTCCCATTAACAAGGTGGAATTATTATTTGTTATTGATTGCCTCACTTATTTGCTTTAGATATAATAATGCTCATTATAGTTCTCTTTCTCACTATTTGGCGTGCAGTCAACACTAATGACGACTCATTATATTCGCTTGCTTGTTCTAATTCTAATCAGACATGTATCCTGTACAAAATCGATATTGATCTATCTAGTGGTCGTGCTATATCGAATGAAATCGCTAATTGGCATCAGTCGAATATTATTGATGGATTTGGATCCATCGCTGGATTTAAAAATGAGAACACATCATATATTATTATAACAACCAGTTGTGATTCTCAAGCAAATCTAATCAATCTCAACGATTTATCTCAACCACCATTGTCTAGAACTATGAAAACATCCTGCACTCAACCGATTCATTCATTAGCAGATAGATATTTATTAGCATTGGGTACAATTCAAAATGATGTTGGTGGTTCATTTCCTGAATCACTCTATGTGTTTGATGCACTGTCAGAACAATGGAATTATGGTGAGTTTTTGTTTTTATCTTTGCTGTTCGTTCAAGTAAAATAAAGATGATCCTTTATAGTCGTGTATCGTCGGATGAAGCGTATTGAGTTAAATAAAGTAATACGTGGGATAATATTCCAGAAATCTGTGGATAGATCCTCCTTAAAATCGGTTTTTGATTATTGGAGAAATATTCAATCTAATCTCCATATAGGTCTTTTATGTCCTGATTTAGGCGCATTCCTTTTGCAATGTATTTTTTTAAGAATATCTAGCTCTCATACAGAAACTGTCAGTGAAAGGCTACGATCAATTATATAAGCTGAAAGACTATTGAATACATAAGAACTTTAACAAAATTTGTTTGCCTATTATATAGAAATTGTCAATTTTGGTAACATATTTTCTGGTAAATATCAAGTGCTACATCCATCAACAGGTTTTTCATCTTTGAATTTAAATGCAGCTGAACCAATTCTTTATGTGGTATGTACTTCAATTTTGTTGTATATTCATTTTTTTTCTCAATTTTGGTGTAATATAGATATTGTACAATTTGGTGAATGACACACGTCACATCTTATCGATTCGCATCGAAAGCGGTCAATGGACATTGAAGGAAATTAGTAATAATTTATTAGCCAATTTTGCATTCTCGACAGAGTTAAATGCTCCTATAAGTGACTGTTCTATGGGTGGTATATGTGTATTGAATTTCAAGAATAATCGATGGGATTTATTTTTACCAATTCCAAATTTTTCGGATTTTATAGATTGGACATTTTCGGTTGATAAGCAATGTATGTACTTCATTACCAAGCAAAATGTAACTGTAATTGATCTATCGAATAAGGTATCTTTTCATTATCGTGTATTACCATTAATTGAACAGAGTGGTAACATTGATAGTATTGATAAAACAATAGTTTTCAATAAAAATTGACTACAGAGTTTCCCTGCAAAGTGTACGAGTGATTTTTTACTAAATCATGACCTTTGAGTCTTGATGTTTGAATCTGTAGCTGACAGGTGGGTGTGGGTGTGCGCGTGCGTTCACAATATATAAGCAGAAATCAAGCCATCATACGATGCATTTAGGAAATAAGTTCGTGTTATTGTTTGTTCATTGATTTTTCTCATCTCGAATCTGATTGAAAATTCTCTGTGTTTGATTTCTGAGATTTCCAATATTTCTAAAAACTTTTCATTTGCTTTGCTATGTAGTTA